ACAAAAAACTTTTAGAAAACATTTGAGAAAAATCTTTATGACATAGGCTTAAAGTAAGAGTTCTTGGACATGATATCAAAAACACAATGTATTGAAACATTAATAAAAATTTTAATCAAAATTTTTGCTCTGCTAAGCAGCAGCTTCTAAAAATATGTAGTTATAATATTTTTATAAAACAAACAAAACCCCATGAACAATTACATAAAAATCTTGTAATTTTGAGTACAAATTTTGAGTTAAAAAATTTTGTTGCTTTTGAGTAACTGGTGCCAGGAGGTTGCTGTAAACTTTTCGTTGACTGTATAACTTCTTGTGGTGATTGAATTTTTATGAGTATGTCTTACTTTTCATACAAAGTCACAAATCTCCACACCACTAGTAGCTTTCACATGAAGTTGGGCAGCAGTCTGCTGGAAAAGCTATGGGGAGATTAAGGGTTGACACCTTGGATTCCTTCCAACTCTAAAATCTTAGGAATTTATGATTATATACAAAATAAGATACTGTTTTTGCCCTGTATAACATGTACCCATGTTTTTGGCCCAAACTTTCAGTAAAAAAAAAAAATTGTTTTAATTTTTAATTCAATTATTTATTTATTTATATTTAGAAACAAAACCAATAATCATATTTCAGGGTATTATTTTGCATACAGATATTGTTATTGCTTTCTAGAGTTACCCTTTTAATGCATAAGTGTGAATAAAAAAATAAAAGAATTAAAAACATTTATATAGATACAGAATTAGTACTACCCACATATACCCATGTATACATGTACAATGTACATCATTATTTTTCCCTCAAAAATTTGGGCAAAACAGTGCACATTATACATGGCAAAATACAGTAATTAAATATCCCCTAAGTGAGAAAATGTTTGCCAAATTTTATTTAATTTCAGATTCACTGAAATAGAAATACTCAAAGCCCAAAGTTTCACAAGTACCTTCTAATAGACTCAAATCTTGACATATGCTGCTTATCATTTGTCATGAGTAACTTGATATACAAGTGACTAGTAGCCACTTTCAACTGTATTCTCTTAACAACTTTAAGTGGGTCACCTTCTTTTGCAGAACAGAAGAGACCAGTCCATTAATTGGATCACAGTCCAGGAAGTATAGTCTTCTTGTAGAATCTGCTTTTTCACCCTTACAAGCCTTAACTTGCATTAATTTTAACAATAAACTACATTAAGTCTCTGAATTAATGGAGTGAAAATCTGAAACTAACTAAATTAATGCACCTAACTTCAAATAAGTCATAAATTCTCATAGGGAAATGTTAGACTGAGGGGCACTGGTGGTGGATTTTACTGAGCAGTCAATGAAATTTAAGCTTTCGGTATCTTTATCTATTCAGACCCTTCCAAGGGCCTTTTAGAAATGTGTTCACATTTTTGTAGATTTGCAAAAGTAAGATTTTTTAATCACAACCAAACACTGCCTCTTTCTACTTTACTTTTCCTCCATCATGCTTTTTCTCTTGATGAGTGGCAACAAAGGGTCTATGGACATTTTGGAGATTCAGTTAAGGAGAAATAGAGATGGGGATAGGTTTCATTTGAGTTTAGTGGAATATGTTTTTGTGGTTTGCAGAAACTCTGTATATAATTATTAGTTGCCACACTGGCATAGGAATGGCTTTAGGGATACTCCTGGAGCTCACTATCCCAATTCACTTGTCGAGGGAGCATGAAGATCCACACCAGAGTTAACATCACACAATATTAATGTGTTGGTGGGCTCTGATCCTAGAAGTATTGGGTGATGGAGAGAACACAAGGTTTGAAAAGTACAGAGTCAAAAAATGGTGTGTGGAAAATTTTTTCCAAAATTTTATGTTATAAATGAGATAAACTAGTTTTTGCAGATTTGACAACAATCCCCACAAATTTAGACAACATTATCAGTAATGAGTTGTAAAACTGAAACTTTGCTAATCTACCAATAATAAAAAACAAATTTTGATCAAACATACTAGAGGAAAGACAGAATTATTTTCCTTTTCTTTTTACAGAAGATGATATTATTCAATTTGTGTTAAATGAAGAGGCAACCAAAGAATATGTATCCAGAAAGCATAGAGTAAAAGTATTATAGAGATTTGCCAGTCAGCTAAGTAAATTATTGCCACTTTTCTAGATTTTGTGATATTTTTCTAATTTTTAAGCTTTGCAATTTGTTGTGACTTCTCATTCTAAATAAATATTCACATGATTTACTTTTGTATTGTAATTTTGTGTTCTTTTTCTTAAAAAGGACTAGCCAAGTCGTACAAATTTCAGTCCCTACAAAACCTTAACACTGCATAGAAGCTTTTGAATATTTAGGAATGGAATAAAGGTTTTTCTTCTTGGTTTAGAATTCTTCTTTTTAAATTTTATTTAAATTGTTGTTGCAGTACAATTTTCTATGTTTTACTCCCATCCCAACCCACCCACCCAGCCCTCCCCTCCTCCCTCCCATTTCCACCCACCCCTCGTTTTTATCTATGTGTCCTTTATACTCGTTCCTGTAAACCCTTCCCCTTTTCCCCTGAAATTCCCCTGAAATTCTCTCTCCTCTCCCCTCTGAACTCTGTCAGTCTGTTCTTTATTTCAGTGTCTTTGATTATATTTTGCTTGTTTCTTTGTTTTGTTGTTTAGATTCCTGTTAAAGGTGAGATCATGTGGTATTTGTCTTTCACTGCCTGGCTTATTTCGCTTAGCATAATGCTTTCCAGTTCCATCCATGCTGTTGCAAAGGGTAGGAGCTCCTTCTTTCTTTCTGCTGCATAGAATTCCATTGTGTAAATGGACCATAGTTTTTTGATCCACTCATTTACTGATGGGCATCTAGGTTGCTTCCAACATTTGGCTATTGTAAATTGTGCTGCTATGAACATTGGGGTGCATAGGTTCTTATGGATTGGTGTTTCAGAGTTCTTAGGATATAATCCTAGCAGTGGAATTCTTAGTAACACAGTCAAATTAGATCATGATTTACTTAGTCTAGAATCTGACCTCTGCAATGGAATTGATAGCTCTGGGGGTTCAGAACTGAGAGCAGCGAAAGACACAAATTTATCACCAGTCACCCTGCAGGAAGGAAACCTGGGTAAAATTTGGCACCAAGGATGAATTTCTCTTCCAGAAAAATAATCTGCAAAGGTCTCCTGAAATGACCTGGTGGAACTTTGATCTAGTTTTAAAAAAGGAAAGACTTTGAGGTTTTTCAGAGAAGTATGAACACTGGATTTGTGATATCTAGGTTCAATTCACCTAGTTTTGGTTTCTACAGTATAAAAGACAAGATAAGGTTGTTACAGTGGATGGCAGTGATGGTGCTTTCCAATCTCACCATCTCTTCCTATCCTCTCTGGCAGTGACTGAGCACTGGACAGGATTGATGGATGTTTTGTGAGGCCCTATGACCAACAAAGCCAGAGACCACGGACATGATCTTACAACAGTTTATCTCCCTCACAAGAGCAGATGGGGTTAATACACTGGGCTCATTGTTCCTAAACAAGTTATGTCAAGGCCACTGGCCCTTCTTTGAAGAGGAATTTGCATATATGTATCCTTTTTTAACCCATTTATGAGTAATACTGCTTGCTTGTTTTTTTAGATATTTATGCTCCCATTAAAAGACTTGTTCTTTTATATTCCAAAAAAGGCAAAAGAAACTTGTAATTGCATAGCCCTATAAGCACACAATTTGGTTCCTGGGACAGCAATAAAAATTAGTAAAGCAACTCCTGTCCCTGTTTGCTGGACTGGCTACTTAGCAGTCCCCAAAGGAAGAAGACACAGGTTACAGAAAAATCCCTTCTGTCCTCACTAACTCCCCAACCCTAAAATGGTCTGAGACTGTCTGATTCACATGATTGAACATCCTTTAAGCTGGAGTCAAGGTGGGTACTAAGTGGATGCTACTTAGTATCACATTCAATTAGGAATAAAAGTAAAGGAGAAAACTTGAAGCAGTCTCTGTTGCTTGATGTCATGCAATTTGTTTCATTGTGATGCAAAGAATCAGAATGTGCTGCAGTCAAAAAAAGTGCACCATTCCTAATTTCAGCAGTTCTGACAACACTGGACCACTCTCTAAATTATCAAATAACCCTCTTATTTGGATGGTTCTTTGTGATTTAGTGATAAAGTCTGTAATTCAGAATAATGATGCATTCTACAGGAGAAAATGACAGGATTATGGCTACAAAACAGAGATGACAATGGCAGGTTTGACTCTAGTTTGTTTAAACAAAGGCATTTTTTTTCAGAGAACATGAAGCATCCTGGTGTTATGAATTCTGTGAGGTGATAAAAAAATTATCATTTGTTATATTCTTTATCATTTCAAGTACTGTATCATGGCTATGCATATACAGAGACAGACATGTGGGGGTGGTTTAACAAAGCAAAAAATCCTATTTTCGTGGAACAATATTTTTGATACTGGTTTGAGGCTAGCTCTAAATGTGTAGGTTTGGAAGGAAGTTTCATTTCCAGGGAAGAAAGACTATGTTCCCCCAATTCTACCCAAAACTCATTATCAAAGAATCAAAAAGAATCAAGAGCTACTGACTTTTCTTGATGTCCATTTCCCTTCTTTTTGAATAGAGATCTGAAAGCAACAGACTGAAATGCTTTTCCCAGGAAGAATTTTTACTTTGGTTCTCTTACTCCTGGGCACTCCCAAACTTTCCTGAACCCAGAGCTCACACTCTTGTAATGAGAACATGAACAGTACTAGCTTTGCATGTTGTACTAGATCAGCATATATCATGATTTCTTTCTAATGGTGTCAGGCTCTGCTTTTCTCTGTTGCTAGTAAAAGTAATTGTCCTTTCATCCTCTGCAAAGGAAGTACCAAAGCTGATAGTCTGTCAGGTCCCCTGCATTTGATTGTTGGACATCCCTCACTTTAGTGATAACCATCACCATGGACCTGGTGCTTGGCCAGGCCTATGAAAGAATACCCACTACCTCTGCTCTCATCTTACTCTACCTCTTTCCATGTCAGTCTTGATCTGCTCCTCAAGGTCCTCTGGGGACACATAGAAGTCCTCTTCTGGCACTGATGATTTGGGCCGGCAATGTCCACAGCAGCAGTTGCAACAGCAGCACAGACAACAGCAAAAATAGCAGCCGGTCAAGAGGCCAATAATGACAAACAGGGTCTAGGAGAAACAGGCAAAGCAAAACAAAGGTGAGGGGTAGTGGAGTGTGGGAGAACCCTGGAAATCAAGTGTGTACCCTGTAGCCCCAAAGACCTGAGGACATCATAGTTCACCCTCCACCCTCATCCTTATTGCATGCAATCTTTTTAGTTTTCTTGGTAACAAATTCTGCGTAGAGTTTTGCCTAGCAGGTTAAACCCAGAGGGAATGACTTGTGGCCAAAGTAATGATGTATGACATTCTCTTCTTTATTCTTAACCTATGGTGATCATTATTGAGAGTAAAGCAAACAAAACAACAAAGAAACAAACCAACAAACAAAACCTTTCCAGGTCTCATGATTTAACCAAGGGAAACAGAATCATTCTCACTAAAGGAGCTGTTGATAGCTCCCCCTCCCCCAGCCACCTTCCTCTTAGTCATCAAGTACTGCACAGTCTCTCTCTTCAACATCCCTTCCACTCTCTTCCTCATCTCTCTTCCTCGTCTCTCTTCCTCATCCCTGGTAGCACCTTAGAAAAGACCCTGTTATCTCTGCTCTGGACATTTCAGGAGACTTGTAACTGGCCTCCCTGCCTCCACTTTTTTTCTCCTAATCCACTCTGTGCATTGCTGCTGAAGCTTCCAGAAACATATGTTCTCTTGAACTCATGCAGTTCTCCTGCTTCTTAGATAAGGCTGGAGTTCCTTATTTTGGTCATCTGGGCTCTGCCAACCCCTCCCCTGCATCAGCTGACCCTGTTTCTGCCATGCCTCTCATAGCTTTGCTCTCCCTGTGGATTCATCTGCCAAATGTCCCCTGCCCCTCCCATTCCCCAGTCATCTAATAAATAAGCACTGTATTTGTCCTCTCCCTGACATCTTTTCTGATATGCCTCCCTTTTGTTGTGCCCCAATTGTACACCATACAAACTTCTATCATGGTGCTTTATTTGTTGACACTTTAAGACATTTATCAGTTTTTAGATCTGTCTCACACTGGGAGATTCTTGAAGGCTAGAGCTGTATGTTAGTCATCTTTCAATCCCTCCTACCTAAAAATATAGTTCCGGGCATGTGGTAAACATTTAATAAATACCTACTGAATTAATGAATGTATAAAGTAATAGGGAAGCAGACATACCTTCTTATGGAAAGAGTGTCATGTCTGGAGGTTAGGTTGCCAGGAAAGCCCACAAAAAGCCCATATTGTTATATGTGAATGTTCAATCTATCATCATAAATATTGTCAGTATATACACCCTCATTTCAAGTTCCAGATCTGCTAGGTAGGAGCTTGTCTCCCTCTGATTCTTCAACAGTAGAGAAATGGGTTTTCAGTGGGAAACCTAGTTATCTCTAAGAAAAGAAATTATGGACATTTAAGAAGGCAAAGGAGGATTTTAAGTTACAGACCCCATGCTTATGTACAAACTCATATCTCTCTCTTCCTGCATGTATAAAACTCTTCTGTTTAGCAGGATTTATTTTAGTGGAAGAAAATAGCAATCAGGATCCTACAGAATATGAAACCTGACTGGAGATCAACAACTTTTTACATTATTCATTACTACTCATGAATGTGAGTTCATATGATTTTACAAAATGTGTGAACTGTTTAGATGTATGTGAATTGTCCAAAAATACACTGATGGACTATATGTATGGTTCATATGCAAATGCAATTTTATCAGAATATAAAGATGTTAAAAACTCATTAACAAATATAAAGCCATCACTAAACATACATATACTAGGGATTCCTAGGAAACTGCACAAAATTTACTGTCAAAAATCTGTTCTAATTGCATTAAGTCCTTAAAAATATTGCATTTTTCTTGACTAGATACCTTTTTTCTCTCTCTTCTTCTCTATGTCTGTCCAATTCCCTGTCCTCCACTACTTAATTCTGACCTTTCCCCCCTTATTTCCTTCTCCATAACCTTACTGCAGGCTCCATGTGAGCCTATGACATAATTACCACACACTCTCCCAAGTATTGTGTTTGCTGATGTAGCCTGTGCTATAAATAGTAAAGTACATGGCTAAATTTTTCCTATAATAATTTATTAAACAGTTGTCACACTAATAAATTATTTTTGGTTTTGAGCAATGAGTCAGTTCTTAATTAGTCACTACAGGGAGAGAGAGGGCAGTCAAAATTAACCTGAAGCTTCAAATTCAAATATAATTAATGTCTGGAAGTATTCTAAGTCATGCTGTATATTATAATCATTTGATGAGCTAAAGTAAAAATGATCCTCAAATAATAGCTTTCCATTGAAGCTATATTTCCTTTTATTTACAAGAGTTTAATATATAAAGTTAAGCTTTCTTTGAGATCAACTCTGAAAGAGTGAATAATATCATGATCTATCAGAAAATTGTTTTTAAAGGAAAATATGATTCACCTTTGCCCACCAGCTTGACAGCATAAAGTAGGTATTAACATTTTCATCTCCAAATTGCTCAGCCACATAGAGTCCCAACGATCCATACTTGTCATATATGTTTCTCTTTGATATGTCAGTAAGTATTGTGTGGGCATTGTTGATTTCTTTGAACTTCTCAGCAGCAGCTGGATCATCTGGATTCTTGTCTGGATGGTGTTTCAAGGCCAACTTTCTTTTTAAAAAAGGAAGGAAAAATGTTATTTGACACAAATTATAATGACATTTTAGAAGGGCACTATTCTTTTATACATCCCTTATACAAGTAAATGTGTGAAATGATAATGTTTACTTAACTAAGCAAGTGTTTATTAAGTATGGTCTATGTTTCTAATGTGTAAGCAAAATAGTATTATTTCTCCTCTCACATCCTCAAAAGGATTCTCAACTGCATGGTTGTTGAGTCTCAGACATCTTGCTATTAGTAAATATGTGAATTTTACTTTTACCTGGAATCTGATCAGGACCCCATCTTAACATGCAACATTCATGGTATGTTAAAAGTTCCAGCATCAGGACCAGTTTGTACCAAAATGCCATTTAGAACAGGAAATTCTCCAGAATTAACAAAACCTCCTACACACCACATATTCTAAAAGTTAAATTCAAATATTTAAAAAATTCTAATTCATATTCCATTGAATAGACATTACAACCCTTTCATACATCTTCCACCAAAAAAATTTCCTTTGTTTTTCTGAACAAATACTGTGACTTCCCCTATATTCAAATGTACATTTTACCTCTTTTTGAATAGGTCTTTCCACTTCAAATAATACATATAAATTTCCTTGTGACTGAAAAGTCCCGTCTCCTCTGTGGACTATCAAGTAGTTTGTAAAGGATGTGGATATGTGTAGTGTTGCACTCTGTGTGTGTGTGTGTTGGGGGGTGACTTGAGGGTATTCTTTACTCTTTAGTTATACTCAAATATTAAAAAAAGAAGTGAGTTTGTCATTGTCAAGCTCTGGCTGGTGGCCCCCTACAGACAGATTTAAATATTTATTAAAGCCATGTTCAGAATGGAGTCTATGGTATTTTTTCCACTGCAAAGTCCATTAATTTTGTAACTACTGGAAAGTCCACATGACTTGTACTCCCTATGCCCATCATAGGTACGTGTAGGAATACACCTTAAGCTTTTGTTTATGTTATCATTTACATTAAATTGTATTTTAATATAACAATAAAGGCCATAAGTAGAGCAGAAAAGTAAAGTATATATCATAAGGCAATCTCTACAATAAATTGGAAAAAAGCTACACATATTTTATGGATGAAAGTATTGTTGGGTTAGGAAGTAAGTGAATAATAAAGCAGCTCAGCATCAGAATGCTTAAAAGTATCAAAATATTTAAAAATATAAATTGTGGTGTATAATCCATTCTAACATTGAATTCAGAATAAACAAAAAGAATAAAACAATGATGGTTCACCTTAAATTTGCTTAACTAAAATATTTTTCAGCCTTTTTGAGCTATGTTTGGGGTATCTATAAATTCTTATAGATGGAATTATTAGAGACATTTTTAAAAGATTTTATTTCTTTATTTTTAGACAGAGGGTAAGGGAGAGAGAAAGGGAGAGAGACATCAATGTGTTGTTGCCTCTTGCATGCCTTCTACTGGGGACCTGGTCTGCAACCCAGGCATGTGCCCTGACTGGGAATCAAACCAGCAACCCTTTGGTTTCACAGTCCATCACTGAATCCACTGAGCCACACCAGCCAGGGCTGCAGACATTTTTTTATGTGCAGAATATATGATGAAATCTTGCACAAAATTCCTATTTTGTCATTTTTAAATGTTTATATTTATACCAACACTATTATATTAAAATGTTATAAATATTTCTTCATTAATCTTGACCACAACTCTGTGAAATAGATATTATGATTCCATTTAACAGATGAGGAAATTTGTCCACCAACAAGTGAAGTAACTTGCCCAGTGTCACAAAGCTAATAATTAGATCACAGGCAATCTAACCCTAAACACATGCTCTTAACTACCAACATTTTGCCTCCTACATATTTTTTAATTTAAAAAGTAAGGCACACACAGATTGTTAGTACTCCACTGTAAGGACTTCACTGGAGTGTTTTGAGGAGAGTGGTATGATCTGACTTTTAGAAGGACCACTCAGTCTTGGAGAGGTCAAAGGTGAAAGTAGGGAGATGCTTACAGAAGTATATAGTGGTTCAGATCAGTGTAGCAGTGTGGAGAATATATTCAGAAGTGGTTGGATTCTGGATATATTTTGAGGATTAGTTGGATTGGATGTGAGATGTGAAAGAACAAGAGGAATTGGAGATGGCACCAAAGTTTTGGCCTGAACAATCTGAACAATGGAAAACTTATGTTACTGTTAAAAAGTTGGCAAGATATTTTTTGTTTGGTAGTAGTAGAAAGTAGCTTGCTAGGATTTAGAGTTCTATTTTGGACACTTTTGAGATGCCTATTAGACTTCCAAGTGGAGATGGAGATAGATTTATGAGCCTGGAGTTCAGATGAGAATTATGGCACATGTATGTTTGGGAGTTCTCAGCACATACTTTTCATACCCATGGAATGGGAAATGATTTCCAAGAGTATGGGTCCAAGAGAAGTCCTATGACTGAGCTTTAGGAAGGAAGAACCAGCAAAAGAGATGAAAAGTAAGATGAATGATGCAGAAGGAAAAATCCAGAGAATATGGGATCTTGGGGTCCAAGCAAACCAAGTGTATGAAGAAGGTCACCTGTATCAAATGCCATTCACAGGTCATGTATGATGAAGACTAAGAACTGAAATTTTAAAAATAGATTTCTGGTCAAGATGGAGATGTAGGTAAACATGCTTCACCTCTGTGCACAACTACAGCAAAAATTACAATTAGACTAAAACAAATAACACCAAGATTCATCAGAAAATCAAACTGTATGGAAGTCTGACAATCAAGGATTTAAAGAAGCCACATTCATCCAAATGAGTAGGAGGGGCAAAGATGTGGATGTGCAGAGAGGTATGGAGAGCCTGGAGAGGTGGTAGAATGGGCGGTCCCACATTCATGTGTGATGGATAAAAATGGGGAGGGATACCTTGGGAGTGAGTGATCCCAGCCACAGACCAGACCACCCAGCCTATGGTTCCAGCACCAGGTAGACAAGTCTCCATACATTCTGGCTGCAAAAACCAGTGTTGGTTGGGACAGCAGAAGAAACTACAGGAATCTTAAGAGACTCCTCTTAAAGGGCCCACAATGGACATAGGGCTCATGCGGACCCACCCACTCTGGAACTCAGCACTATGCAACAGCTGGAAGGGCATAAGTGGCATAAGGGGAGAAAGGGAGAAAGTGAAGTGACTGGCAAGGAAGTGAGTGCCAGAAGACAGCTTCTTTCTGGGCAGTCTCCAGAGGCCAGGCAGCAGCATTGTCCCTTCTCTGAGTCCTCCCCAACATGGAGCCACAAAGTGGTGAAACAGGTTATCCTGCCCTGGCAACTACCTAAGGCTCTGTCCCACACAATTTACAGCTGCCTTTTCTACAATAGGCCACACTACTGAGACAAGGAGTCAAAGCAGCTCTACCTAATACAGAAACAAACACAGAGATGTTTCCAAATTGAGGAAACAAAGAAATATGGCCCACATGAAAAAAAAAACCCAGAACAAAACTCCAGGAAAAGAGCTAAATGAAATGGAGATAAGCAATCTGTCAGATGCAGAGTTCAAAATACTGGTTACCAGGATGCTCAAAGAAATCACTGGGTACTACAACAGCATAAAAAAAATCCAGGCAGACATAAAGTTTACATTAAGTGAAGTAAAAATCTACAGGGAACCAACAGTGGAGGGGATGAAGTGAAGATTCAAATAAATGTTTTGAAACATAAGGGAGAGAAAGCATTCAATCAGAACAATCACAAGAAAAAAGAATTTTAAAAAATGAGAATAGAGGAAGGAGCCTCTGGGACATCTTCAAACATACCAGCGTCTGAATCACAGGAGTGCCAGAAGAAGTGGAAGAGCAGGAAACTGATAACTTATTTGAAAAAATAATGAAAGGAATTTGAAAATTTTTCAAATTTTCCTTATTTGAAAAATAAGGAAAAATCTTTCCTTATTTGGTAAAGGAAATAGACATACAAGTCCAGGAAGCACAGAGAGTCCCAGACAAGTTGGACCCAGAGAGAACCACACCAAGACACATCATAATTAAAATGCCAAAGGTTAAATGTAAAGAGAAAATCTTAAAAGCAGCAAGAGAAAAGCAGAGAGTTACCTACAAAGGAGTTCTCAGACTGTCAGTTGATTTCCCAAAAGATACTTTGCAGGCTAGAAGGGACTGGCAAGAAGTATTCAAGTTGATGAACAGCAAGACCTAAACCTAGATTACTCTATTAGCAAACCTGTCATTTAGAATTGAAAGGCTGAAAAAGTGCTTCCCAGACAAGGTAAAACTAAAGGATTTCATCATCACCAAGCCATTACTATATGAAATATTAAAGGGAACTATAAAAGAAAAAGAAGATTGAAACTATGAACATTAAAATGGTAACAAATGCACAACTATCAACAACTGAATCTAAAAAACAAACTAAGCAAACAAGCAGAACAGAAACAGAATCATAGATATGGAGATCATATGGAGCATTATCAGCTGGGATGGGGAAGGGGGAGAATGGGGGAAAAGTTGCAGGAATTAAGAAGTACAACTTGTAGGTACAAAATAGGGCAATGTTAAGAACAGTATAGGAAGTGGAGTAGTCAAAGAACTTATATGCATGACCCATGAACATGAACTAAGGGAGGGGATTACTTGAGGGAGGCTATGGGGGTACTAGGCAGAGGGGGGCAGAGGGGGAAAAATTGGGACAACTGTAATAGCATAATCAATAAAATATATGTATCTTAAAAGACTAAGAATTGATCACTGGGTTTAGTGACATAAATCTTTGGTGACTTTGACATACACAATATACATGTATACACACAGAGACAATTGTGTGTATATATCTTCATATAGGGAAAAGTAAGGCAGAAAAATAAGTAGAAAAGAAAGAATAAAAGGGAAAATTATAATCACAACCTTCCTTATAGATGTGCTTATAGATGCACATTGGGATTATAGGTAATTTTTTGTTTTGTTTTTGCTTGTTATAAAAATATACATATTACTTGTGTGGTTTCCTTC